CGTCATCAGAAAGTTTTCCTAATTTTAAAAGTCGCTGAGGCATTAAAATGGCCAAAAGGCACACTTTTACATCTGTAAAGTCCTGCTTTGTAGCTCTGTTGCTCAAAGCTACACACTGGCAACGAAAGAGTGGCTGGAAAGTACAAAAGTGAGCGTTTAGCAGAGACCACCCCTGCTTTTGTTCCTTTCTCTGGGAGACCGTGCTAACATGTGATTCCATCACGTCTGAATGTACCTGTCCAGCGCCTCATTGAGCCATTGTTCTCATTCTATTGCTCTGGTAATGATGCACACCCCCTGACACTCTCCCTCTCATGCAGACGGGTTACTCACAGGCGCTCGGCGTTCCTGGGGATGCTCTTGGGCATGCTCCGGAGCCCCAGCCCATGGCAGTCCACCGCGGTTCCACTGCAGGAGCAGAGCGCCGGGCATCCGGAGGCAGACTCCCACAGCAGCATGCACACACATGCACACACCTCCAGCAGCCAGCCTCCCCGCGCAGGCATGGTCTCGCACTCTCACCAAGGAAAGATGAACAGGCTCGGATAAAGCTCTTCGGGGTTCCAGAGCGAGAAGGAAAAGAAAAAAAGCTTCTCGCTGGAGCACAAGCTCTCCTTGTGCAATAGTGGAGGAGTTCCCTCTGTAACACTCTCTCTCTCTCTCTCTCTCAAACACACTCCTGCTTCAGCTCTCTGCTCGGCTCAGCAGCTCTCAGCCTGAAGAAAGGGAACAAAACCTCTCTCTCTCTCTCTCTCTCCCACACACTCATACACACGGCAGTAATCCATCACAAGCATCTGCAAATGCTCCTCCCACCCCCTTGCTCTCTTTCACACCCCGCCTCTCCTCTCTTTGCATTATTACTCTGTGTTTAGAGAGGGAAGGATTCATGGTCGTAGATCTGCACCAACACGTGTTGCATGATGATGACTTTAAGTCACCCTTTAGAAAGATATGAGGGACAGGCAGGCTTCTCCCTCCTCCAGCTCTCTCACAGAGGTGTTCCAGTCCTGCTGAGAGATACGGTCCCTCTCGAGACCCAGAGGGGGCATCCTCCCAGTGGGACATGCCCGGAACTGCTCCCCGGGGAGCACGGCAGATGCACCTCAACGGCTCTTCTGGCAGCTCTTCTCTTATCCCAGCCGCTTCTCTATCCCAGGCCTCCTCACTTTTTCCAGAGGAAATGTATTTGCTTAAATCTGGGACTGTGAGGAGCACACAGACATAGACTGCACAGGATAGAGATGATGCTCTCTGCCTGAACTCGCCTCAGAACAGCTCTTCTCTTAGCCCCGCCCCTATAACTGTAAAACTGCCCATTCTGCTCTGGAGGAACAGAGAGAGGAACTGCAATTGGAAGCCTGTACACACCGGGATGTTTATGCTCATATTTGTTATTTATTCTTTTGCTCGAGAAACCGAAGCTATTTAAAGATAACACTTCATTTGAGGAATGACAAAGTTCCCAGTACTATGATTAAAGTATAATGTGATAAAAGATTACAGATACTATTTGGTGAACGGATCACTGTCCAAAGATAAAACTGGTGAAACCTTTGCTCTCAACAACATTAAAAAAACTAATTTAAGTTTTAGATTTTCAGTGACTGAAGGGCATCTTGTAACAGCTCAAGGGTTCGGTTCATCGACTGTAACTGTACATGTGTCATTCTCATGGTGATGAACTTGTCTCCTGGAGTGAAAGTCAAACTGGAACTGAAATAGATCCGTGTGGAACTTGTTTATTTACTCTTAGTTCTGTAGAACAGCAAGGTTGAGCTTTTCACTAGCTGCCAGTGCACCTGACTGCAGCAGCAAGGATCAGCCATTCCGAACCCTTCCCTGAAGGCGTGTCCCAATTCTCTTTAGAACGACAAGGAAGAGCTGAACTGTAAAAACACAGTGGGTCGAGGCCACGCTAGAACAGAGGAGAACATTTCAATGAAGGTCAAACAGACGAAATCATTTTTTCATTTAGAAAAGTATGTTTTAGTCGCATGCAGTCCTTGTAAAGTTCTATTGAACTCATTCACAACATGGAACAGCTTTCTTCAGCTTTTTAGGGGTGTCCCAACTCATGTTTTCTTGGGTTTCTGGGTAGCAATCAGACAAAAGCAGTCAGTTCTCTCGGCAGTGCATAACACATGATTAAGCAGAAGGTTCTCCCGCACTCTAACATAGGACAGGGTGACTTTATGGTCGAAAGTGCAGCTGGCCTCCAGGGGGCGATCAAGGCAAAAAACGAGTTGGGTTTAAATAGAAATAAAGCTTCAGTCTCATCTGTTTTGTGTTGCTTCTCTTGTTCATGTTCTTAGCGAAAACAAATCTCACCAAATCATGAAAAGATGCATCGAGATGAAGGGAGAATCTCTATCTCTGCAGTCTCTTTCCATTCTGCAGACCTGAACCCGTTACTTCTGGACTTTTCCATCTCCTTTGCTCTCCTCAAAGCAGGAGGAACTGAGATCAGATGCAAAAGACCATTTCACTCAATCACACTTTAAAATGTCTGCTCCACTTCCTGTTTCCAGCAAATGCCTCTAAATCCTGAAAACCATTTTTCAAATCAGTTTACACATGGAAAAGGGTAAGGAGCGTCTTGACTTATGTTTTCTTACATCTCTCGTTCACTTCAGCCATCTCTTTGGGTGAGAGGAAATGTAAATATGAGGACCATTGGTTATTTCTAACACAACTTGGAACAGCAACACTGAATCACTGAAGACATCATTTAGAGCTAAATGTAAAAGACTCATAATTGCTCTGAGCAGAGAAGAGAGAGAGAGAGAGAGAGAGAGAGAGAGAGAGACAGTGAGTTTTACTTTCAGAAGAATGCTCTGTTTAGGGCGAGCAAGATAAGGATTGGGAAACATAAATAAACAGCAGGACCCAGAGGACCCTGCAGACAGGAGCCAAGGCTTTTTCCCAAATTGCAGGACACCGTTTGTCCTCAGGCAAAGACCAGTATGAGGAGGAGGGTTCGGCGGGGAACACATTGCCCCCTCCGCTCCCTAAGAGAGCAGTGTGTAATCATGTTTGAGGATGGGGGAAGGTTGGAGACGCAGGGAGCAATGTGACGGCAATAAAGAACAGCACAGAAGTCAATGGCCCAGGTTCTCCACATTCTTTAAACCCAGCGACATTATACAGAAACAGTGTTTCAGTTTTACCGTCCAAACCTCCAGCTCTACACTGAACAGTGTTTCAGTTTCACCGTCCAAACCTCCAGCTCTACACTGAACAGTGTTTCAGTTTCACCGTCCAAACCTCCAGCTCTACACTGAACAGTGTTTCAGTTTCACCGTCCAAACCTCCAGCTCTACACTGAACAGTGTTTCAGTTTCACCGTCAAACCTCCAGCTCTACACTGAACAGTGTTTCAGTTTCACTGTCCAAACCTCCAGCTCTACACTGAACAGTGTTTCAGTTTCACTGTCCAAATCCATACCGAATAGAGTTTTCTAAATTGAAGAGAAAGAATGAAGGAAAAAACTTGACCTGATATAATTCCTATTCATGATAATCAATTATGATGGCATTTAGTTCCTATGGCATGAAGCAGTCTCTCGTCCTGCAGTGAGTTCACCTGCAGCTGCAGCATCCTTGTGAGGAGAGGCTCATCCTGAGGATTATTGCCTTTAAGATAGTCGTAACATCTGCTCTAGGCACTACTACATTGGATTATGTTGTATATTTTAAATATAGTCTTCTAGTGATTCTTGAGACTCTATGTTCCAGTGTACATGGAGACCTCGCTGTACTTGCGCTTCTCCACCGGTGGATGTCACCAGAAAACCGAACAACTATTATTTATTATTGGAGCGTTTACGGATTTAAGCGATTTATCCTTGCGTCCAATAATAACTCATTCACACAGAACATCACTGGACTTCACGACATCTGTGTGAAATCCAACTGAAGTGTTTTCCAAAAAGCGAAATCACACGTCGCCATTTTGGATCGAGATTCAACAGTGGGAGGAGTCTCTCGACGCTCCTACAGCTGACGTCACGCGGAAGGATCAACAGGCGCTTTTTGAGGAGCGAGAAGATTGAGTGAAAAACAGCAGAAAGAAGATGTTAAGTGTGGAATTTTGAAAACTTGGGATAACTTGGAGGATTTGTCTGTAATGCAGACATAAGTCCTACACGTTATTTCACTCACACTCTTTTGTACACTCGTTTTTCCACTCGCGGAAGGAAAGTTTGGGAAGGCCGCTGACGTCACAGTTTCGGGGATCGATTTGTTTGGGAAATTTCTGTGTGGCTTTTAAATTTTACTTTAATACCTTTTTAAATCATTGAAAATTCGTTTATTCAATTAGATCAAACTCTTGGGGGAAAATCGTTCAGAATAAACGCAAAGATGATGCCGGTGAGTGATGATGTGTTTTTTTTAAATGCCAAATGGTTTATTTCAGAAAACAAAGTTTCTCCAGAAGCATTTACAACATCTCTTGTTTAACGGCAATTATAGCAGAACGCACGCATTATTCCTCAATACATTTAACCTTTATTGCCTTTTTATGACTAATGCCTCATTTTATGAGGTACTAGTCTTGAGGATTATTATTATTATTGCCCCCCTCAATGTGCACTTAATAACTGTGTAGAGATAAATTCTGTATGTTTTCTTACTAAAAGGTAGTTAGATTGAATCAAATGACGTGATGTATGCTATTCTAATGATATGTTAATTACATGACTGACATTTAAGTCTCTTTACCTTGATGCTAATTAAATGTTAAGCTTTTTTAACACTTTGTTAATTAATGCTAGCTTGATGCTAAAGACATTAGCTGCCATAGCAGTGGCTTGTTTCATGCTAGCTTTTTGCTAATAACCTGATTAGGCATGCAAGCATAGCATCACACACCCGGAGCAGTGGCGGCTATCGCTGCGATGCCAGGGAGCAGTGGGGGAACTGCTGACTTGATAAAGGGTTGTCACAGGTGGAGAGAGAGAGAGAGTGAGCTTTCATCAGTCACCCCACCTTCGATTCCCAGTAGGGCTGGATATCGAACCAGCGACCTTCAGATCACCAGTCAATCTCCCTGTCCAGTGCGCCACAGCTGCTAGTGACAGACAAGATTCGCACGATTCGCAGTCCCAGCCCGGGTGTTCAGGAAGCCTTCTCAGATGCTTCTTAATTCAGCTTTCCCAGAGTATCGTCTTTAACTATTGGCTTGAACACCCGTGGTCTCTCAGCGAAAGTCTTGTCCTCCAGGTTCATCGCAATCAGATCGAAATGGAATCAATCGAAGCGGTTAGATCCTCGAGTAAACCCTCTGCATGTTTATTTGTTTTTTTAACGTTTGCCTGCAGATGTTCCTGACGGTGTACCTGAGCAACAGTGACCAGCACTTCACGGAGGTGCCCATCACTCCAGAGACACTTTGTCGAGATGTTTTGGAGCTGTGCCGGGAGCCTGGAGAGCACCTCTGCCACCTGAGCGAGGTTTGGAGAGGATCAGGTCAGAAAGCGCCCACAGGCGAGTGTTCCGGGTGTCTCTGGAAGCGTTTCATTACTCACCAGCGACAAACCTGACTGTGTGCAGAGCGAGCGGTGGCCGAGGGCGAGCGCATGCTGGACCTGCTGCTGCAGTGGGGTCAGGAGAGGTCCGAGGTTCAATTCTACCTCCGCAGAGGCAGAACTCCCAGCCAGAGCTCAGGTACGGTATATGGAGGAGCATTGGAGTCACTTCTGGCGACACAGTCCTTTTCTGTTTATTAAATTTTTTGATTATAACATTAATATATTTAGAAATAAAGCGTGAACTGTTTAAATAAATTACATTTAAATTCATAAATACGTCATTTGTTTATCATTGTATTAAGATATATATATATATATATATATATATATATAATATATATTACTGTTTATTTCAGAAACAAATATATTTGAAATTAGAATAAAACAATAATTATATGAATAAGACTAAAGAAACAAGAACATGTGTGTATTGATTTGATTTGTGGACTTGTTTATTTCTGTATTAGATCCATTTATTAGTTAATTTAAGTCAAGATGAAGTAGTTTGTGTTTGTGTCTCAGACTCCAGGAGCTCGACTCAGAAGAGAAACGGGCTGAAGAACCACGGCGAGCGGCGGCCGGAGAACGGGGTGAGCGCTTGAGTCCTCATCTCCTCTCTTTCATCCACGAGATCACTGCAGCTTGAGATTCGAAAGATGAGATTCACTCAGAGCTGCTTCATCAGCTGAGGAACTTCCTCTAAACCTGAATCCCATCAAACTAAAGCTGCAGACGTTCGTTTGCAAAGATTGATCCTCTTCTCTCTCTCTCTCTCTGTGTTTATTCAGACCATGGACCTGACTCTGGCGGAGCTGCAGGAGATGGCTTCTCGGCAGCAGCGACAGATCGACGCTCAGCAGCAGCTGCTGGCTACTAAGGTGAACCTCAGGCCGCTCTTTCTCTGTTGCTGAGCTCCAGCACTCCTCCGTGTCCTGCCTCTGTAGTTTGGCTCACTCAGTCTAACTGTTCCCGACCCTCGAGCTGTTGTTCAGAGCTAAAGTCTGGCCACGTCTCAGAAGGGTTTGGAGTGGTGTTTGAGAAGCTCAGCTCGTATTTCCCTGTAATGCAGGAGCAGCGAGTGAACCTGCTGAAGCAGAAGCAGACTCATGCGGATCAGCTGAAGCTGCAGCAGCTGAAGGATGCAGTGGAGAAGCAAGAGTCTCAGCTGAAGACGGTGCGAGCGATCAAGGCTCAGGTGGAGAACAAGCGCCGCAGCAACGCCAAGCTGGGTGAGAGAAGGAGAGAGAGAGAGATGTCTGCCGCCCCCGGACTGATCATCTGTTGCTCAATCTGGCACTTGTGTTTCTGAAATCACTGAGGTCCTGTTAGCAACAAGCTAGTAAAATCATGCTAACAACACGAATTACAAAGTAATTCTAGTAACATGCTAGTGAACACGTGCATGCAACACTCCAATAAACTCATGCTAATAATTATGTGGTATAAGCAACATGCTAATTTTCGGATGTTTTCAACAGGTTACAAAGCAACATGCTAGCTGCTAGCCGAATCTTGCTGGCAGCATTTTAGTGGAGTCAAGTTGTTTATGTTGCGAGGAAAGTCATTCTAGTGGACCCTTGTTAACAACATGCTAATGGACTTACGTTAAGAACATGCTAGCAGAGTTGCGTTAGCAATATGCTTGTGGAGTAACGTTAGCAACATGCTACGTAAATACTGAGTCCTAATTAATGCTAAAACAGCGATTTACGCTAAACATGAAGACATTCTAATGCTAGAGTCATAACGGGATATTAGTTGAAATAGGAGATGATGGAGCATGCTAATAGCATGCTAATGTACGGCGGTGTGATGTGCGGTGTGTCAGTGGATCAGGTGGAGCAGATGAACAGTGTCCTGCAGCAAAAGCAGAAGGAGCTGCTGGCCTCCGTGGCTCAGGTGGAGCATCTGAACAAACAGCTGGAGTCTCTGCGGCTGCTCCAGAGAGAAGCAGACCTCAGCAAGCACAGCTCCGTGGCCGAGCTCGACCGCCTCTACAGGGAGCTGCAGGTACACTCCTCTCGTCAAACCATTCAATCATGCTGCGTCCACCTAGTGACAGGAGAGGGCAAGGCATTGGATGGACAGAGAACGCTTCCATGACACGGTTCTGATGAACCCGTGGATTCTGGGGGCGGATTGAGCTGAACAGATCCAGCCGTTGGGAGCAGGGAGGAGGAGATTGGAGCGCTTTGTCTGTAATGGATCTCTCTTCAATGTTTGTCCCAGACGAGGAAGAGCCTGAACCTGGATCAGAGCAGCAAGCTGCAGCAGCAGAGGGAGGCGCTGGGCCGGAGGAACCAGGAGGTGCTGAGCATGGAGCGACGGGTCAGTGAGCTGAGGGAGCGTCTCTGGAAGAAGAGAGCGGCGCTGCAGCAGAAGGAGAACCTGCCCGTGAGTCAGCTCGGCCCGCGTGACTCCCTTGAGCGTCTCGGGGCTGATTTCACGCTTTTGTCCGGTGACAGGTTCCGCCGGAAGGCCAGCCGCCCCAGCTGACCCCAGGCTCTCGAGTGGCAGCGGTGGGTCCGTACATCCAGTCCTCCACCATGCCCCGGGCTCCAGATAAACACGAGCTGCTGAAAAACACTCACCCCAAGGGATACGCAACCGTGCCAAATCCGGACCGCAGCGCTAACGCCGGATCAGGCACAGACTCGCAGCAGAGAGCTGTTCGCAGGGGAAGCCTCAGACTGATGTTTTCTGTCCTCCTCCCTCAGGTACAGCCGCGGTGAAGCCGGCTAGCTGGAGTCAGGCTAATGCTAAGTCTGGAAATAACCTGGGGATGTCCAGCCTGCCCCGGACAGCCACCAGATCCCAGGGTAACCATCATCTCGCGCCGCCGATCTCTGATCTTACTGTTTGTGTTCACTGACTCCTGCTCCTGCTCATGCTCCCGTTTCCAGATGCAGACGGGGGCAAGAGAGACCCTCGAGCTCGACCGCTCTCCATGTTTGAGGCTAACGAACCACCGGCAGCTGTTCTGAGGAAAAACCAGAGCAGCGAAGACCTCGTGAGGGACGCCCAGGTATCATCAGTGGGGTTTAGGATGAGGACTGCACTGGGCTGAGCTCCTAACCATCTGATCCGGTCTAAGAGCTCTTTCAGAGACCACACCTCCAGACTCGGAGCTAGCGTAGCTTCCTGCTCACTGAAGGTTTACTGTCGCGATGGAAAATACGACATTTATCACACGATGAATAAAAGTGAGCTCAGTAAGTTTGTCTGCCGGTCGTGATGATGTCCGTCTGCGAGTCTTCAACGGTAGTAACCAGTCTCTACTGCTACCAGCCACAGCAACACGAGCAGACGCTCCGGCAGAACCGAGCGCAGTCGTTTCAGACCGTTTTCATCCGCTGTACATGGGTTAATTGAGATAGTGTTGCCAGATTTTTGTCGAGCCACTCATTGATTTCATTTTTTTGTTGAAATGTTAACTTTAATTCTAAAGCTGATCGATTGTATTGTATTCGTAGGTAATTTGCATATTGAAGCACATGCTTTTTACTTTTCTGTTGTTCCTAACGGTCGGTTCTGCCTGTTTTCTCTGAATCTGATATTTTCGAAGAGAGACGTGTTTATTTTTTACGGAGGCTCAGATCTGAGGCGCAAGTGAGGAGTGAAAGGAAAATTAAAATATTTCAAAGCGTTTCTGAGGTTTCTCCTCTCACACCCTCGTCAGGTCAGCCGTCGTGGTTCTGATCGTTTACAGTCTGGTGTAAACTCTGTCTGTTCTCAGAGCTCCGCCAAGGCCTTCGTCAAGGTTCCTCCTCCAGTTCCATCCAAACCCAAGCAGAGTGGCCTGGCCTCAGGGGGCATGATGGGATACGGGAGGACCCCGCTCTCCTCAGCTCAGGTGTCTCCTAGTGTCCCTGAGACCGCACCGGAGGCTCCCCGGGCGGCCACGGTGCAGCCCTTCAGCCCGGAGCCTCCAGGGATGCAGGCGCTACTGAAACCGCAGACGCTGACGGCCAGCTCCATCTACTCCATGTACACGCAGCAGAGCAGCGGCGCCGGGAAAGCAGCGCCGGCGCAGCATCCAGGACCTCAAAGCGTTCAGAGCACGCTCAGTCGAGCAAACACGCGCAGCACCACCTTCACCAGCGGTCTGTCCAGCCTCCGCCCTCTCTCCCTCTCGGTAACGAAAGCATTAGTAGCATCCGTTCATGTTTGTCTTTCGTCTCTTCCAACAGTGTACGGGAAACCGGTGACCCCCGCTCTGCAGCCTGAGAACCCGTACCAGGACCCCCCTGGCATCGGCCACCCTCCCTCGGACGCCCCTGAGAAAGAGCGCACCCATCGCCCTCTCAGCCCCACCAAGCTGCTCCCCTTCATCTCCAACCCGTACCGGCACCAGAGTGACCTGGAGCTGGAGGCGCTGCGCAGGAAGCTCTGCAACGCTCCTCGACCCCTGAAGAAGCGCAGCTCCATCACCGAACCTGAGAGCCCCGCCGGACCCAACCTTCAGAAGCTGCTCTACCAGAGGACCACGCTGGCTGCCATGGAGACGGCAGTGATCACCCCAGGGGAGGAGGAGAGGGAGA